TGATGATTTTACCACCATTAGAAAGAGGAAGATTTTCTCTGCAATTTTTATTAGAAAACCAAAAGATGCTAACTTGATAGAAATCGAGAAATTTTAATTTTGGCTCCAGATTATGGATCTTGATTGTTTTGATACGAAATGCACCCCACCGATCATTAATCATAGTCTTTCCCTTACTCACAGATTACAAATTAAAGAATTTATTTGTAAAAATGAAGACCTCACTTTATGGAAAGTTGATATTCCAGTGAAGGATAAAAGAATTAAGCAGCTTAAAACCTCATTAGTTGAGAAAGTATTTATTCATAAATGTGAAAAATTATCAGATAATAAAGAAATTATAAAAGATATTTTCACACCCCATCCAAAAAAAAACCGTATATATATTATTGTATCCAATGGCAAGTAAATCTTAATAACTTCTCAGTAATTTATTTAGCAAGACGCTAATGTCTATAGAATTATTAAATTTTATTTTATTTTTTTTCTATACCACATTTTCATAAATAAGAAATTACATTACGTTGTATTATTAAAGGAGAAACTTCCAAATTAGCCTTTCCTGTTAATGTTAATCAGTACACAAATATATATGTACTCAAAAAATTTATTTTCGAAAAAATTACTGTTCCTAAAAACAAAGACCTCATTTTATGGAAAGTTGATATTTCAATGAATGATGAAAAAATTGAACAGCTTAAAAATGTCTCATCAGTTGAAGAAGTGTTTAATTATGAATATGAAAAATGTGAAAAATTATCAAATATTACAAAGACCATTGATAGTATTTTTAAATTCCCGCTTAAATGAAAATATCCATCTTGTCGTATATTTTGGTAAGTGAATCATAATAAATTTATTAAATAAGATATTGAGTCTGCAAAATATTAAAATATACTTATTTATTTTTTTTAATCTGATATTGTACATTTTCTTAAAAAGAAGAATTAGTGTGGATGAAAATAAATGATATTGAAGTTTATACTAAAACATGGAAAGCAGATGATCCTAAAGCATACGTAACTTTCCTCCATAGCTCTGTTGATCACATAGGTTTTTACGATCATATATTTTCTAAATTTAAAGATAATAATATTGAAGTTAATGCATTTGACCGGTGCGGACATGGTCGGACATGGAAAAAAAATGGGAACCCCAGTGTTGGAAAAGGTTGGGATGTTGCAATTAAAGATATAAAAAAATTTGTAATGAAGCAAAATAGAAAACAAGAGGCTCCTCACTTTTTGATGGGACACGGTGTGGTATGTTGAATAGTCTTATATATGTTGTGCCTCAGATCAATTCTTGCCTCAGGTGTCTATCGGCCTGAATTAGAGTTAGAGTTAGGGTAAGAATTAGGCTATAGTTTGGGCCAATTAATGTGATTAGTTAATGCCGGCCAAACGATCAATACCCAAGGTGTCTCAGTTATCACCTGAGGCAAAAATCGATCTGAGGCACAACATATATATATATTTTTATATTATTATACTTTTTTACTTTTGGATATAATAAACCTGCTAAATTTTTTTTTCAGGGAGGCGCACTTGCTCTCTACGCTGCAATAATAAAGGAAGAGAATTTTTTTTCTGGATGTATTTCACTTTCGCCTGTGCTTAAACTAGTGTTTTGAACCGTCAACCGAAAGTTCAACCGGGGCTGATCCGGGTAGACTTACGGGTATTCCCAGCCAATC